ACTCTTTGTACGGCAGATTCGGCACAATGTTTTGCCTCATTGCGATGTTGCCTGAAAATTTTAAACAGAAGGGATCACTGCTCATGCTGGTGCAGCAAGACATGTAAGGAGATGGCCTGGTCACAATCCAGCAGTCATATATCGACAATCTCAAGCTATGACAACTTGTTACATGTGTCTGTAATAAAAAAGGGACTTTGCGATGGTGTGGGGAGCTCTTTGAGTGGTGGGACTGTGGAAATCCAGTTTGTTTCGCCCGTAACAAGTTTGTTACGGGCGAAACAACGTCCCTCTGAAACGTTTGGATATGCCTATGCAACACATTTCCTCAATTTCATGAACTGCAAGTATTCTAATCCAACATCACCCCAATCTCAGTGTAAACTAGTCTCCAAATGTGCCTGCACAAGACTGTCACCCCTGTCACCCGGCATTCACATTGCCTTAACCTCCTCAAGCTTGTCGGGTTGTGACACGTGGGCATGAACCTTGTGACAATGGGCATTGTCACAAAGAAACTGGTTGCAATCAGAAATGCATTTTTGCTCATGCCAGGTTACCGACATCGGTTACCGATTACTGGGGACGGTTAACGGATAACGGTTCGCCCGGTAATCCTACCGACCGGTTACCCATCTCGTTAACTGGACCCGTTAGGTCGGAACCGGGCCGGAACCGGCCTGGAGTATGCCATTGGGCCTGTTTATTACTTTTAAGGAATATATTACTTTAAAAAAAGACACTGAGCTGAGTACCGGCCATAGAGGGCTGTCCTTGCTGCTGTAAATTAATGCGAAAAACCAGCCCCGGTTACTGCCCAGTAACTGTAACCCAATCGTAACCACCCCCATTAACGACCCCCGGTAACCATCCACCTGGTAACCGGTCTCCGCATACCCCGTTAACGACCTAAATTGCCCGATAACCGGGCAAGTCTATGTGGTAGGGTAGCAGACTTGGAGTCTGGAGCCCACATATTGATGGGTTGCTGGTCATGACTTATAAGCCCACAGTGAACAACTTCTGGGATGTGCGCAAAACATGGGCCAGGGGTGGTCATGGAGTGCAGTGTATGACTCGTGTAAACAATGTAAAACATGTGCCAATGTGGTCATGGAATGCAGTGTACGAGTCATGTAAACCAAGCAAAACATGGGCCAGGGTGGTCATGGAATGCAGTGTACGACTCATGGAATGAGTGCAAAACATGGGCCAGGGTGGTCATGGAATGCATTGTATGACTCATGGAATGAGTGCAAAACATGGGCCAGGGTGGTCATGGAATGCATTGTTCCATCATGGAATACCATGCGCAATATGACCTGGTCATGTTCCGCATATTTATGAGCAGGTACATGACCACCTTTATGACCTCATGGGGTCATAAAGTGCAGCCATGACTGAATACGGTCATATTGCGGTCCCATGACCTGTCATAAATCCAATCATAAATCCCATCATGACCACGCATTTCATGACCCCAACCAGTCATATCCTGCACTTGCTTATGCAAACTATGAACTGATCCATGACCGGATCCATGACTTAATGACAAATTATGACCGGATCCATGACCACATACATGACCAGATCCATGACTTAATGACAAACTATGACCGGATCCATGACCACATATATGTGGGGTGCCAGGGCCACATCAAGTGCGGCCTGGAGGACCTTGCGCTTCAGGGACCGGAAGGACAGGCTATCCTTGCCCTCACCTGCATGTGAGTGGTACACAGAGGTGGTAGTCCCACAAAGAATTGTAGATACCCTTCAAAGTATCTGCAGATGGGGTGTAGGCCTCGCCTGGAAACTGCTTGAACAGGCGCAAAAACTCCTGGAGCTTGCAACCTGCAGGCATCACATTTCAACTTGCAGTAAGCATTGTGGCTTGCTATCAACTAGGCACCAAAAACAGCATGCTTAGAAACAGTGAGTAATGCTGGTAAACACTGGTAACACTGGCCAATGCTGGTAAAAACGCACCCGAGAGGTTCGCCGCGAGGAAGGTCTCCACCTCTGAAGACAAACTTTTCTCAGGTGGCTTTTCACTATTTGCCTCTGCATACTTGTCTAGGTGGTCAAGGTATGAGACGCCCATCTCGAACGTGCCAATTGATGGCTCGTCAAGAGGAACACTCTGCCTGCATTCCACATTCACCACTGGCTCATTGTCTGTGAATAATTTATCATTGTTGGCGACGTCTCCACCGGCAACGCAGCAGCCAGGCAGCGTTGACTCGATAACACCCTTGCAGCCATAGGGGTTGCGAAGGAGATGCAGGCGCAGCTCCTTGAACTCTCGTCCACAGTGAGGGCACCTCTGGGTGGACATATTGATGACCAGTCGCGGCAGGTGAGAATGCTCAGTGAAAGTCTGGCAGTTGACCAGGGCCTCTCCCTATGTGATAACCAGTGAAGTAATTGCGACACCTGTGTCACTATCTAATTATAGGAAATTACACTAAATAGATTTGCTGTAACGTCCTCCAGGAATGCGCAGAATGTCTCGCCGAGGCCTGGGCACTGCTTCACTAGCTGTGGCTGCACTACATAAACAAGTTCCGCTGCCAGCTCAGCATCAAAAGCAATACCATTTTTCGTGATAAACACTGCCTGCTCTTCAAAAGCCGACCAATTTTCATCGAGAAGGTTCAAAATAAAAGTGGAGTCCATAATTTTAAATTAAGCAGATAAACCGAGGCCTGATGGGCAATGCTGACAACCTTCCCTGATAGACGAATCTTCTTCAATTTCAATCTGCCGTACTCGCGTCCCTCGTAAGGGACGCGACTACGACACAGCTGCTCAAGACCACCGACAAAAATGATAAAAGCTCTGCGGTGCTCATAAGCTATCATAGAATTTCGTAAGAAGGTCAAGCCCGTGAGTCAACGCGGCATAGCAGAATGTATGACCGGTCCTTACATAGCCAAACACGCAAAAGGCAACGACTGAACGCCGAACAAACACCAAAACAGCAAGATAAGCCTGAAAGTTTTCCTGATAAAGGCGTTTGGGATGGCGGTGCTGTTGTCAGTAATGCATCGGCAATGGTGTTGCTGCCCAATCATCTCAAACTGCTACAGTTTTGTGGTAAGGAAGTGGGAGAGGCTGGGCACTGCCTGGTCCCCACAGCATGTGCTGGGGTTTTGTAAGTATGGCGATAATCGTTACATGCCAGGCAGTGTTAGCCTGCCAGAACCTTGCCAACATTGATGCAGAACAGACATCAGCTCAGCGGCATGGTTTAACCCAAGCAGACACTCTCCAGCATATTGAACTCCTCTCACCGTCTACCCATCGTCTATTCTTCGTCTACAATAGATGAATCGACTAGAGACGACATGTATAGACGACTCGACTTTAGACGAACTATTGTAGATGACTCGTCTAATAGACGGGTCTTCAGGATATAGACGACCAAAAAAAATACAGACGTACCCCGCCAACCCCCGTGCCCCGATCCTCCCGACCCTCCCAACCCCGTTCCCCGACCCTCCCTATCCCCCATACCCCGCCAACCCCCGTGCCCCGACCCTCCCAACCCTCCCAACCCCTATTCCCCGACCCTCCCTAACCCCCATACCCCGCAACCTCCCGTGCCACGACCCTCCCAACCCTCCCAGCCCCAATTCCCCGACCCTCCCTATCCATACACACCTTGTAGCGATGTATGACGTACGTTCCTCGACTCGAAAAGCTCCTAGCCATGCCCTGGAGGGTAGTGGGTGCAGTCGGATGCCAAGGACAACGTTAGGCTAAGCTTCAAATATGCATGTTCTAATGCACCGTTTTTAGCACTCATCTGGGGCGTTGCTTCGCTGCAATAGCCCATTCTTTCCCCCCGTGTGTACTCCCTAAAACCCTAAAACCCTAAACCCAACCCGCCCACAGTGTAACACCCCATCAACTGTTAACAGTGTGGGCTCCAGGTATATGTCAGTCACAGGGCCAAACAGGACAAGACAGGCTCTAACCCAGTGTCTAACTGGCTGTTATGCCACGTTAACAACTATCGTCAGCAGCTGATAATGAGCCCCTCTGACAGCCCCGCCTAAGAAGTTAGACGCTGTTAGACCCCCTATGAGTTGGTAGGGTGAGCAAGGACCTGGCCAGGTGCGTGCAGAACTACAACACCACGCTGCACCATCCACTGAAGCTGTGTGAAGGGGGCACCGCATGCCAGACCATGACACCCGAGCAGGTGCTTGGGTGGTTCATCGTCGGTGAGTCACCCTCGTGAATGGCAGCTACGGCAGCTACGGATGCGGCGGCAGCTACGGCAGTGGCGGCTGCGGGGCGCCTGGCTCAGCTGCACTGGGAGAACTCACAGTATAACAAGCGCGTTGGAGTGATGCTGCTGCCCAAGTACCCCCGCGTGGGTGACACGGTGCAGCACTATATGCACATGGGCAAGCACAGATTCGAGAAGAAAGAGGGAGAACACTTCTCTGGGAAGGTGTACAAAGTTGTGGGATACACGGCAGGCATGAACCACAGGTTCAAGATCGAGGAGAGGGACGTGCCAGAGCAGGGTGCGGTGGTGCAGCAGGTGCTGCAGGAGTTCAAATACGACGAGCTATTGATTGTGCCCCCTGACGCAGAGGGCATGGAAAGTAACGTGGTCCTGGAAGCCCGGAAGAGGCTGCAGTGTTCCCTGCACAGGATGCGGAGAGAGGGTTTGCAGCCGGCGCCTGGTGATGACAGTGAAGTCGTTGGCGCAGACGATGACGGTGGTGGTGACGGTGATGGCAGGGGTGGCAGGGGTGCAGCAGAGGCGCCCCCCGCCGCTGTGGCGGGCACATGGCAGCTCCGAATGTGGCGTCAGACCGAGCCTGCACTGGCACCTGTTTGGCGCCGCCAAATGTTGGCCTAACTTTCAGAGGAGAGCACGCCCGGTGGAGGCTGCCTGCAGGCGACCCGTGATGCATTCTGTCCGGCGCCGCCAAACATTGGTGAATGTTCAGAGGAGGAGAGCATGCCCGGCGGAGGCTGCCGGCAGGCGACCCGTGATGCACTCTGTCCGGTGCCGCCAAAAGTTGGTGAACATTCAGAGGAGGAGAGCACGCCCAGTGGAGGCTGCCGGCAGGCGACCTGTGACACACTCTGTTTGGCGCCGCCACAAGTTGGCGAACTTTCAGAGGAGGAGAGCACGCCTGGTGGAGGCTGCTGGCAGGCGACCCGTGATGCACTCTGTCCGGTGCCGCCAAAAATTGGCGAACTTTCAGAGGAGGAGAGCACGCCCGGTGGAGGATGCCGGCAGGTGAAACGTGATGCACTCTGTCTGGCGCCACCAAAAGTTGGCGAACATTCAGAGGAGGAGAGCACGCCCGGTGGAGGCTGCCGGCAGGCGACCTGTGACACACTCTGTTTGGCGCCGCCACAAGTTGGCGAACTTTCAGAGGAGGAGAGCACGCCTGGCGGAGGCTGCTGGCAGGCGACCCGTGACGCACTCTGTCCAGTGCCGCCAAAAGTTGGCGAACGTTCAGAGGAGGGGGTGTGGTGGAGCCCCTTTTTAAGCCCCTGCCCCAGGGGAGAGTGCCGGTGGAAGCGGCTTGGTTCTCTGTTTGTTAGAACAGCGAGAGCATGTGAGTAAGCTGGCCAGGGGGTGGCGGCTTGTTTATTGAGGCTTGTTTATTGAGGCCGAGGCGGTGGTTTAGGGACTGAGGCTTGTGGCACCTCTCGTGTGGTTAGCTTCTCGCTTAGCACGGCTTGCAGCCTTCTGCACCGTTGAGTTGCTTAGCCGGGGGCCGAGAGGGACCCCCGGCTTGTGTAAGTGAGGGAGTGAGGCGTGCACGGCGGGACAGATGGACATAACCGTGCGCCCACCCTTGCACTGTGTTTCGGCCCAGTCAGGGTCCTCGGTGCTCGTCTGTTCCCAGGGCGAGTTGCCCACAGTGTAACACCCCGTCAACAGTAGTAAGAATCCCGCCTGCCCACAAGTGACAACATTGTCTCAGTTAACTGCTTTCAAGCTTGAAAGCAGAACCAAGAAATGTACATAAGAAACATAACGAGCCATAGCGATATTGTAGTGTTCCTGCTACGATAGTGGGAGGGGTGGATTGAGGTTCTAGCACCCTGAATTAATCTAGCATAGGACTAGGTCCTCCTGTTCAAGCATGGTAGGTGAAGAAGGCAGGCATAGTTCCTGGCTTGGCTGGTGGTAGGTTACCGTACACATATGGTCAGGGCAGTGATGGCTGGCGGACTCATCCAGGTTGTGTATTAGTCCCCTTGAGTGATATTTCCTGGAGACATTAATCTCATAGGCATACCTGCATGTGTATGTGCTCGGCGGACACCGGAGTATGGGGAATAACCCCCTCAGTTCCGCATTCCCCTTAACACACGACAGGCTTACATCCCGTGTAATCTAATATAATAATGTCTAGCAGTGTCTGCCGGCCACATACACACTCACACACACAATTGAGCAAGCAACATGCAGGTGCTAAGCATGCATATGCCAGTCTTGACAGGACAAGTCTACTTGTACATATTTACATGGCTACATGTGCGTGTTCTGGCCTTCCATAAGTCGGTGGACGGGGGTTTTATGGAACTCCATATGGACTTTATGGATGCAACCAAAATATGGAGGATGGTCTAGTGCACACTACAATACCGCAGGTAGTCGGTAAGTACCGGACTTGCAGGCTAATGCAGCGGTGGTTGTGGCTTGCAAGCAATTGCATTGATGGACGTCAAATAAGATACCTGAAACAGTGACGATTATGATAACACTGATGGGGGCGGGCTCCGATAGTCACCTATCCTCCAGTAACCATGTAATAACCGTTCTCTTTATCTATTCGATTTATCTATTCGTTCCGTCGCATCTCAAGCAAGAAAATGATGGCCCAAATGACTGGCATTCATGAATTGTGCGGACTTGCGTCTGATTGTGTGAGCCTGGATGGCTTTAAGGAGCGACGGAAAGTGGGCTGAGATGACGGAGGCGCCATAGCATTGTCCCAATCCACCTTCTCCTACTACGTACTATACAAATCACATTCATGCAACCGTCTATCCATATTCGTTGCCCACAACAACGCAGCAAGGTGCAACGGACAAAACGCAACGGATGAATAGTAAAGCGGCCCCAATATATCATATGCATACAAGGGCACCATCTATTGGCGATAAACATTTCACAGACGCACAAGGACCACCCAGTACCAATGCATGAACTTTTTGCGGTTGTTTAAAAGGTATGGAAGGTCTACAGGGGTACAACACGGTTACCCCGAGCCCGGGCCCGCTTCAAGCCCACCACACCGACCACCACGGCCACCATAGCCGCACCCACAATGGTACAAACGACTATCAGCACCACCGATAAGCCACCAGTGGCAGCCCCAGGTGTTGCAACAGAAGAAGCTGTAGTATCAGCAGCTGATCCAGCAGATGACTCGTGGGATGCTCCATCCACACCTCCAACAGCGGATGGGGGCAACGGCAGCCCTGCTGTGGCCGCTCCCGCCATCAGTGGAGCAGCTGTTGGACTGAATCCGCTGCCTTCATTTGCTTCACCTCCTGAACCGCCGCTGCGACTGGTACTTGCCCTCTCTGATTGAACAAATGCAGCAGCCTGGGGCGCCGTTGGACTTGGTGGAGGCCCCGGAGGACTTATTAATTGTGATGTATAAGGGGAAGGAGGGAGAGGTGTAGGATAGCGAGGGGATGGGGGGCTGGGAGGTGGAGGGTTAAGGGGGGGAGGGCTGTG